AATTTATTATGATTTGGTTTTGATTTTCATTCAGCTCAAATGTAATTCAATAAAGTTTAGTTTAGTTTTATTTATAATAATTTTATTTAACGTTTATATAAATATTTAATTTAATTTCATTTAATGTTAACTTTTTTATTTTATTTTTAGTTTTTGTTTCATTATGTTTTAATATTTTGTATTTTATTAGATTGCATTTAATTTACTTTAATTCAATTAATTATATTATAATTAATTATATTTTATTTTGGTTTTATTTAATTAAATTTAATATAATTTATTGTTACTTATTTATTTTATTATTATTGGTTTTATTTAGTTTATATTAATATAATTTGTTATTACTTATTTATTTTATTTTTTTTTTTTTTCATTTATTTTTTGTTTGAATTTCAATGTTTTATTATTGGTTTTATTTAGTTTAATTTAATATAATTTGTTATTACTTATTTATTTTATTTTATTTATTTTTTTTTTCATTTATTTTTTGTTTGAATTTCAATGTTTTATTATTGGTTTTATTTAATTTAATTTAATTTAATTTATTGTTACTTATTTATTTTATTATTGTTGGTTTTATTTAGTTTAATTTAATATAATTTGTTATTACTTATTTATTTTATTTCATTTAATTTTTTTTATTTTTTGTTTGAAATTTCATTGAATATCATCTAAATTATTTTAGTTTCGTTTAATTTATTTTTTTCTTTTTCATATATTTTTTGTTGCTTTATTTCCTTTTTTTTATTTATTTTATTTGGCTGGTTTTTTTAAATTTAATTTGTTATTATTTATTTCTTTTATTTTATTTTTGATTTTGTTTTTTAATAAAATTTTATTTTAATTAGTTTTCTTCTATTTTATTATATTTTGTTTGATTTTTTTTATTTTATTTATTTTTTTTAACTAATTTTACATTTGGTTAATATGTTTTTTGTATGTATCTTGTTTTATTTTATTTTCTGCATTGTGTTTTTGAGTTTATTTTAGTTTGACTAATTTTATTTTATTCAATCTAATATAGTTAAAATTTAATTATTTGTTTAATTTTTTTTTAAATTATTTTATTTTAATTTGACTAGTTTTATTTAATTTAATTTTATATTCTTTATTTTTTTAATTTTGTTTTTTGATATAATTATATTTGGTTGTAATTAGTATTCTTTTATATTATTACAGATTGTTTAATTTTAGTTTATTTTATATAAGTTATTTTTTATTTAACTTTTTTATATAATTTTACTTTACTCTGATATGTTCTTATCCTGTTTTAATGGATTTTGTGTTATTTATTTTCTCAACTGTGTTTTTGATTTATTTTTAATTTGATTAATTTTATTTTTTTTTTTATTTAGAATAGTTCAGTTTTAATTATTTCTTTTATTTTGTTTAATTTTTTTTTATTTTATCTGATTTCATATTTTTATTTTACCTAATTTTTTTTTTATTAATATATATTTATATACATTTTTTTGTTATTTCCCAAAATTATATTCATGAACGTTTTTATCATTATTTCTCAGTATGACTCCCTCAATGCATGAATGAAAGCACAAAATAATGTTTTGCTATAATAAAAAAAATTTATTTGAGTTCAAAATAATTTTTCATAGCCAAAATAATAAATTGGCATTACTTTAGAACATTGCAGAGTGGAAAAAATCAAAGCAAATATCATACAAAGCACCGACATTTAAGCAGTCGTTGACAATCACTCATTTCGGTCAATCATTCAGTTATTCAGCAGCAAAAATAATATGCACGCCTTTTATATGCAGCGAGACAGTAGCCATTCAAAGAGCGATAGCAAAATCATAAGCGTGTGTCGCTGTATATGAGCATTAGTGTGTGTGTGTGTGTGTGTGTGTGTGTGGGTGCTGGCAGTCAATCAGCACGTCAAGCAGGCTAGCTAGCTAGCTGGCTGGCCGTCATTCATACGGTTAATGCGCTTTGTGAATTGAAATGAATTTTAGAATTTTTGCATTGTTACGTTAAAGCAATACCATAAACAATTATTCTTACGCTAAATTATGATGTTTATAAATAAGTATTATATGCAACGAAATATATACATATACATATATGTAAAAGTGTATATATTAATTTTGTTTAACTTGTAAGAATTGTGCTTGAGCTTGCGTTCTGACAATATAAGGCAAACACACCCCCATGCAAAAGCAGTAAAAATTTCAATGGCTTGAAATAATGATTTTAACAAAAAAATAAATAAATGAGCAAAAAATTACAAAAAAATCTTATAAATGCATAAGTAAGGTAAAATAAAAAAGAAAATAAAATAAAAATAAAAAATGAATTAAAATTAGAATAAAAAAGTATATATGTGTTTATATATGTATAGAGATCACCACAGCTTCAATTATTTTAATGTCGCTAGAATTTCATTATATTTGCATATAAACTCGCCGCTCTGCAGCCGAGAGTCCCTACGTAGTAATATTTTTTATACCTTTTCAGCGCAAAATCTTTTCCCAGCTAAGCATCTTGCCTGTTGGCGTCTGAGACTGTGCTTTTGCGCACTAAATTTTTTAGCTAAGATTAATGTGTAGTTAATAATGTGAGTTTTTGTTCTGTAAATTATAATGTCTGTCGCTTTTTAGCTCAGAACAGAATAAATGTGTCAAATTGTCTTGTCTCTTGTCAGACTGTAGCGCATTTGATGGTGGCAAGCGCGAGTAATCGCTGCCCATTTGTTCACTACTGCTTAATTTCTAACAATATAAACACAAATATGTAGATATGTCTACTTATAGAAATTTATGCTTTTATTTTGCTCATTAAATTATACTTTATTAATTTTTTCGCTGTTATTATTATTAAAAGAAATGGGTGTTGACCAATTGTTGTTTGCTATTAATTAGTTTAGATGATTTTATCGCTCGCAAATGATCGACAGATATTGTGCATAAAGAGAACAAGTGAATGAATTAATTCAATCAACACATAGCGGGCATTTGGGCGTGCAGAAAATGGTAATGTGCGGCTATTATGCATTCTTATGAGAGATATTGATTGAATATGGAGATAAGGTGATTTTGAACGTCACTAAAAAAAATATTTTTTTTATTTTCTTTCATAGTATTTTATTTCATTTTGTTTGGGTTTATTTTATTACCTTTCATAGGATTTTATTTCATTTTATTTTATTTTATTTTATTTTATTTTATTTTATTTTATTTTATTTTATTTTATTATTTTATTTTATTTTATTTTATTTTATTTTATTTTATTTTATTGTATTTTATTTTATTTTATTTTATTTTATTTTATTTTATTTTATTTAAAAAATAATATAGATAAAATAAATTTTATTAAATTTTATTCTATTTTATATTGCTATAATGTGTTTTAATCAATTAATTTATTTTAATTCATACTTTTAATTTAACTTATATAATTTTAGTTTTTTACTTAAATTTTCTTTTAATTTTAACTTGTTTATTTATTAATTATATATAAACAGATTATTTAATCATAATTTGAATTTTTGTTCTTTTTTAGTTTTGTGCGCTTTCATTTCACATTATTTGATTTTATTTTTTTTTTTATTTCATTCTCTTTTTTATTTTATTATTATTTAATTATTTAATTATATTTATTTTTATTTTACTTTCTTTTTTGTTCACAATTTAATTAATGTTAAATGTTTTTAATCATTTCTTTATTTTTATTAACTTTATTTTTGCTTTGATTGAATTGATTTTATTTTTTTTTCATTCAAATATCTTTACTTTTGAATTTATTTTCATTTCACTTTATTTAATTTTTATTTTATTATTTAAGTTAATTTTTTAATTTATTATATTTTAATTTACTTCACATTAATGAGCTTTAATTTTATTTACTTCTCTCTTTAATTTTTATTTTGCCAATTTTCGTTACTCTCTTTGTTGTTCAATATTATTTAATTTTTTTAATTTTTTTATTTGATTAAATATTTTCTTTGATGTAATTGAATTTAATTTCTTGATTTTAATTCGTTTATTCTCGAATTTATTTCGAATTACTTTGTTCATTTTGAGTAAATAATGATTTTAATGTATTTAAGCTTAAACTTTATTTGTTTTTTTATCTTGTCTTATTATTATGTTTATTATTTTTTTTTATTTAATTAAATTTTTTATTTTATTATATTTTAGTTTATTTAATTGTATTCAGTTTTAATTATTTTCTGTTTTCATTTATATGTTTTTTTTTTTAATTTTTTATGTCTGTTGCACATCGAACAATTTTGTTTATTTTTAACTTATTTCGTTATTTGCTTTTGAGAGTTGTTAAAAAAAACCATGTTAGAACAAAAGACTTAAGCAGCGAACTTGTTAGAAGTAATAACTCTAGAGGTGATTTCGCTTTGCTAAAACAGCAGAGCTTAGGATAGAATATAAAATTCCACAGAGCTCTTTTTTAAGAGCGATTGGCATATTCTTAATATATTTAATATTACAATATTTTCTAATAACCCTTTGAAAAATCGTTTTAAATATTTTCTGTTTAAGTAAAAAATATGATATTAAGTCAATAAAAATAATTTATTAATTTTTTTTAAAATGGCCTTGCATTTATATGTTGTATTATATTGTCCAAAAAATAAAGAAGAAAATATTTTGTTGTTTTCCAAATAACATATTTTTCAAACTTCGAGTAAATCTTAGAATACGCTTTTTTCGAAAAGTAAAGACCATAAAGAAATTGTTTTATTATTTACTAAAGTTGACTAGGTTTTGTAAATGCAACTTTTGTACAATGAGAACAAATCACAGACACAAAAGACTTAAGTAACGAACTTCTTCTTTCTAAACTTGAATTCCGAATGTAAAACATTAATCGTCATTCTTTGCTAAAGCCCATATATCAAATGTAAAATCTTATAAAAACGGGTAAACTCTTTCCCTACTCGAAAAAACACTTCACTGATACGAGTACGTATAGAAAAAAAATTTAAATGAATTAAAAAACAAATAAAATTCGATATGAAAACTCACCTTCTGCAGCGTCAGCGTCGGCATCATTATCGCCATTATATAATTTTTTCTCTTGTTGCTGTTCTTGCTGTTGCTGTTCCTGCTGTTGTTGTTGCAGTAGTAATTGCTGTTGGCCAAAGTAATAGCGACGATGATGGAATCGCTTACGTGAAAGTGGTGGCGTATTTGGAGCATTTCCAACACCTTCTGTTGCAGCTGATATTTCTGCTGTTGTTGTTGTTGTTGGTGCTGCTGTTACAGATAACAGATTCACTGGTTCTGTATTTAATACTCCAGATTCCTCAACATCTTCCGATGTTGCTTTTGTCGCTGGAGGCACATGCTTTGTTGGCGCAGCATCACTCCCTGCATCACTGGAGCCTTGCGGCTCAGGCGTTTTGGGTGGCTGTACTGGTGTCGGTACAACTGCTGTTGGTGACGGCGATGTGGTTGGCGCTGCACCGAATGTGTTTGGCGTTCTACGGCCGCTATAGAAATGCCGTGTGGGTGTTGGTGTATATGAGCGTGTGCCTGCTGTTGGCGTATGCGGCTTGCCACCTACTGGTGGTGATGGACTCAACGGTGGCACCAGTCGATCATCTTCGTTTTTGTCCTGTAGCAGATTTTGTGATTCCAATAGGCGCTGTTGCTGCTGATGCAGGCGATTTTTGATGAGAAAAATTTTCGGCATTTTGTGTGCGTTTTTTCTTCTTCTTTAATAAATGTTAGTTTTTAATTTTTATTTTCTATTTGGAATGAATGCTTTTTTTTTGTTTAGCACCACTCAAGTTGGGGTCATAGTCACTGCCCAGCAAAACACTAATCCACGTATGCGTGATTTTGCTGGCGCTGCAAATGCCACGGTTTCTTGCAGAACACTGTTGAACACAATTTTCGAAAATTGTATTTTGTGTAAAATTTTTTTATTTTTCATTAAATTTTTTCTTTACTTTTGCTTGAAATTTTTGTAAAAAGTATTTTGTGATTGTTTCGCCATTTTTGTAAAATTCGCTGTTTTTTTTTTCAAGTGTATTTTTTAAAATTATTTTCACAATTTTTTTGTTTGCAAATTTCTTCGGTAAGTTTTGAGCACGAATATATTTTTAAATTATTTTAAAATTTCTTATTTTGCTCAGTATATTTTTGAGAATTTTCGGAACACCTACTATTATTTTAACGCAATTTTTCAGTATTTTTCAAAGCTTCTTCAAGCATTATTTGTTAGAAAATTTTGATTTTTTTATTTTGTTTTTTTTTTTTTTTAAGTCTGAATTTTTTTTAATTCTTCTTCTTTTCGAATAAGTGTTTCGAATCAAATTTTCATAATGTATTTTTCGAAAATCAATTATTTCTATTAATATTTTTTTTTGCTTTTTAATAAAAACCTTTTTTATTTTTGAAATTTTATTAATTTTTTCCAATACTTTTTTTGGTTATTTTTCAATAAAAATTCTTAAATCATGCGCTAGTTTTCTATGTAAAATTTCTTTGCTAGATTTTAGCCTTTTAATCCTTTATATGCACAACTTACGCACAAAGAAATTATATTTTTCACTTTTTCGAAGAAAATTTTTTACTTTTCACACATTTTTCACTAATATAATTTTTCTTGATTTTTAAAATTCCACTTTATTTTCCTGGCTTGTGTTTCTGGCAGTAGGAAATCTATTATTTAACACTTATATTTACGTGAGTATGTATGTATGTATATATATATTTGCTTTTCCACTTAGAACTTGACACAAGATCTAACTGATTCACTGTTAGTTGGATTTGGTTTGCAAAACGACGAACGCGATTTGGAAGCGCTACACGCGTGTATCCTCAACGCTGGATCGTCTCTTACTGTATTCCAGCGGTACTCGCGCACAAGCAGTTAGTCCAAAGTCAGTCAGTCCGAGTTTCCGACGACGTCAATCAGCAGAAGCAGCAGCGGTTCATCCACTACACGCGCAAGTGTACATCGAGATTCCAACAATATCGGGCAACAACGGTGGCGGAACATCGGCTCTTTAACAAATACGCACGCATACCACACACACACGCACACACACATACACATACACATGCATATAGCTGGTCACAAATCGTTTGGGACGGTTGTTTTTCGAACGCTTCGGCTCTGTGAACGATCACTGAGCGAATGAGTGCCGTTTTTAGAAGTTCTTTCGACGTCTTGGCGTTGTTAGAATTGATTTTTTATGCCTAAAAAAAATGTGTTGTTGTTGTTGCAAGTGTAGAAAAACACCGTAAGCGGCAAAATCGTGTAACGTACATACGACGTTTGTGGCTAGAACTGAGCAATGCAAGCAACACCAACGGAATTCTAAGCCGCAGCAGCAACAGTTCTAAGCGTGCGGACGCTTACTCTCTCTCCCTCTACACTCGTTTGTGGAGAATTCTTACGATGACATTCGGATTGCGTACAAAAGTGGGTTGACACAACGTAGAGGGTTGCGTGTGTGTAAGTGTTGACTGGTAAGTGAGCACAGGTGATCGTGGCTCAGGTGTGCGAGTGGCTCGATGGTGGTGTGCATTGAGAGAAGAGCACTTACGCGCACATACACACTGTTAGGGTTGTTGAGGAGCTCAGCTCGGCTTTGGCCGCTCTCTATGTACGTGCGGTGGACGTATGAGTCCAATTAAGCGTGTGTTTGTGTTTAACGGTTTTCGCATTATACTTGCCTTACAATTTATCATGCTCATACGATTTGTTGCTATTATTGTAGCACACACGCTTGTACTCTCTTCACGCTCACTATTACAATCGGAATGCACTCGCTCGATTTGCCTCACCTGTTGGCCATTCGGCGGGGCTAATTGGAGATTTTCCGTACTCGCTGTGGTACGGTCGCTCTCTATATCTTTCTCACTCTCTGCTCATTTAATATTTTCACAGTTACTCAGCTGAGCGTGGCTTGGCAGTTAGCTGTAATGGCCGGCAGCTCGCAACCACATGTTTTAGCCAACTCTTTGCTGGCAGCAATTCCACACCTCCGCAGCTCATCTTGGGCCCCCTCGATCGAACTTCATGTATTGCTCTGCACATGCCTCCGCTTGCTTAGTTTTTCTTTAGTTTTGCTTTGGTTTTTTGATTTGCGGTTTGATTGCGCTTGACTTGAATTTGGCTTCGCCGGTCGTGGCTTCGTAGTTCAGAGTCAAGGTAGAGGTAAGACTTGTATTACCTTTGTAAACGCTTGTTGGTATTGCTGTTGTTGTTGCCTGTTATGTTATGTTACGTATTCAGCGTGTTGCTCGTGGCTGCTTCTTCTTCTTCTACCACCTCTTTTCTTCTATTTTATACTCATTCGTCGTCCGACGGGTCTATTATTTTGCCGGCAACTTGGCGTTGTTGTGTGTTTTTCTTGCCCTCTCATTTTCGTCGTTTTGGCTATTACTTCATATGTATAGTTTTTTTTTATGCACATAGGTGTACTCGTACATATATTTATGTGTACTTCTTGCACTAACGTCGACTTTTTGGATTTTTTTTTGCTGGTTTTGCTGTTATTGCTCTTGACTCTGAATTTTTTCCAGCTATTCGCGGTCTTTTTGGTGTTTCGATTTTTTTGGCTTTGCTGTTTATTGTTTTTGGTTGTTTTAATTTTTTTTCTGGGCTTGTTGCATGTTTATTGCTGCACTTTTTTTAGTGGAGTTGTAGCTTTTGGGCAAATTTAAGTGGTTTTGGTTTGAGGAAACCAGTATTAGATGGAAATTGTGAATTCAGCGAAATTGGTTTTATAATTCTTTTTCTTTATATGTATGTGTGTATGTATGGGTATAATATGCTAATTTTCCTTCCTTACAGTTTCGATTTTCGTACTCTTTCACTTTATTTTCGACATCTCGAATCACTTTTTGCTTTTTTTTTATTCCAACTACGAATAAATCTCTTTTGATGTATATCTCTGTGATCTGGGTATCAGATGAAAAATAGTCTATTGCCTTCCGTTGCCTACTGATGAGATCTTGGACTATAAGGGCAAGATAGTCTCTTCTCTACCAAGAACAATAAGGTATTGCAAACTTCATTAACTCCGTCGACAGACTCGATAGAAGCTGCCGTCTTAGCCTTGCTCGAGGCGTTAAATGGGACAGAACTGATCGTGTTAATGCTTCTTTCCTTTAGGGAGTCTCACTTCTCTTGCAGACTTTTCCAGTGAAAAATAGGACGAATTTTTGTTTTCCCTTGACCACGTGAACTTGGACTGTGCTGCAGTCTGTGGCGTATAGTTTAGTCAATACATATTAGCTCGGCGAATTCTTACGGAGGGGAGAGCTCGTTCGCACACGGCACGAGATACTCTAGAAATATATTCAGCCGGATGACTAACCAAGAACCCCAAGTGTAAGGTACCTGGGCTGCCGGTTAGTGATGTGACCGCTTAAGTGTCTGTGTCTCTCCAAATGCGGATGACCTCTTTTCGAAAGTGAACTGCTACCTTGCCGATCTTTCTCACTTTTTCACTGCACGACAGTTAAAACTACAACCGTCTAAATCCTGGGCTACCCTCTTCACCAGCTGGACGAAGGAGTACAGACTTGAATTAGAAGTGAAGGTCAATGACGTAAAAATTCCGTCTGTAAACAACCCAAAGGTATTAGAAGTCGCACTGGATAGCCTGCATTTAATTACTCCGCATACGACCGCAATTGCCGCAAAATTCCAGGAGCTGCAAGCCGGCAGCGCCTGTGGTAAAGACAAAGAAACTTTACTGGCAACTAACAAAGCAATTGGCCGGTCGGTCGTAAACTATGGACGAACGAGATGCAGATGAAGATGCTAAAGGCTTGCCAGAACATCGCCCTCAGGGCCGCGTCAGGAAACCTCCTAATGGAGCCGGAGCATCACTTGCACAAAGAAGCATCTACGAGTTAAGAGGAGCATAATGCTTTTCTATTGGGATGCTACCATTTGGAGAGTCTCCGCACGACACTAGCCACCTCTTCACTTGCCCCCTTAAGCCGGCACATCTAACCCCCCTCTCCCTCTGGTCCAATCCCGTCAAAACAGCATGTTTCCTGGACCTCCCACTAGATGACCTTGGTGACTTAGATTGATTAAACCTGTAGGGACAACAACAGAATTCAAGGATTGGTGTTTGATGTCGAACCTGTGTCAGCTGCTTTCTCTCACCGATGTGTACCCTATTCGCACTTTGTAAGACGTTCCTTACCCTGATCCAACTAACGCTTTGGCAGTTTTTGTGCACGGTTTTCGTCTTTGTGTGCGGGAACCGACACTGTAGGTCTAGAGTGCTGAGCCTGTGGGTTGGCGGCTTAAAAATTCAGATGTGACGACCGTAAGAGACATCAAAAATCCAATAATTCTCGCAACATTTGTGTTTTTGTAACAGCAATGACCTGTGTTTGTATTCAGCCAAGGACTGTCACTTCTGAACATTTTTCAAAACCCATTCGGATAATACTATTGTGCTTACAACAACGACGAAACATCTCTAGGGCTCATTTTCAAAACACTCGACTACGCGGCCGAGATTAAGAAGAACCCGAAGTAGCGGAAGCAGTGACTTGTGATACCTGGTCAGACCAACACCCAACACCGTGCGCGTGGATTGATGACATGAAGTTTTCATTAAATCCAGCTATTCAGAGGTGCCTTGGAATAAATTGCAGATCCCAGCATTTATTGGGAAATCTTCGAGATCCGTACCACAGGCTCGAAGTGTAGGCGACAGTCGATTCAACGGCTGTTTATGTACAATATACGAGTATATGTTCTGCTCGTTATTGAAGGAATTTTCAGTTCGATTTGAGCAATTGAAACAATATTAATCAGAAATTACTCATTATAAGTCTTGATACATATATGTATATATGTGTGTGTATGTGTATATATTCATTAATACTCATATGTTAGCAGATATTATGAATTAAAAATTACTTGGCAATACTACTTATTATTCAGAATCCACAAAAAGTCGTGCAAAG